CTTCCCAACCAGCTGGGGCCAATTCCCTCCGAAAAACAAGCAAGCGCATGCAGAAGTTCGGCTTCTCAGCCGCTCCTGTGGCACCTTGGGTGACCTTTTCTTCGTCCAGGTGAGATCCGGGAATGACGCCGCGCACCGGAGAGCCTTGCAGCTTCACGTTGCAAGCACCCAACTGCCACAGCGACAAGCTCTGCATGCTGGCCTGATCTCTCTCTCTCTCTCTCTCTCGCTGTGCCGTTGCATCCTCCAGAGCAACCCATGTTTAGAGGGCCCTATCTTGACAAGCCTCCAGGCAAGCGCTCGCTTACCTTCGACTCAGGCATGTGCGCAGTGGTCCTGCCGCGCCATCCGCTCCAGCGTGCGCGCAGGAAGTGTCGGATGAGCCCTTAGCTTTACGCACCCCGAGGCTCAAAAAGCTCCTTTGCGCCCCACGAAACCAGAAGAATTTAAAGCTGACAGGACCACGCATGGCGAACATGCTTCGGCATCTTCGCAATTTTCCGTGCCCCCACATGCGTGTCCAAGGGCGAAAAAAAAATCTTCCGCGGCACTCACTGCATTTGTGTGTAGCCTGGGCAGGTCCAGCCAACCTTCCAGGGCTCCAAGAATTTCTGATTTATGTCCTGGGGCATGGCCTGGGGCTTGCGCTTCCAATGCACTTTTCACACGTTTGCAGTCATTGCCAACCTCCGCCTGCAAGCGTCAACCTATGGACAAGTATATCATGAAAATAGACATGTATGTAGACATACTTGATTGAACAATCCTGCAGATCATCCTTCAGGCCGCCGTTGGTACAGCAGACTGGATGGCTTGGAAGCAAAAGATCTCTACCCAGTGAACGCCTGGAAGGGAGCATCCTCAAACTTACCCACGCCCGGGGCAAGGCCCTGCCAAGGAGCGGTGGCATCTTCAAGACAGCCCGAATGGCAGCTTGGACCACAATGCTTGCAGATCTCAACCGACGCAAAACGCGTGGATTTCTTAGAGACAGCCTCGCACGAGCTGCGAATGTCAGGTTTCAGCCTCTTCGTCCGTCACTGACCACCGTTGGCTTCACTTGAAGGTGCCCCTCTAAAGTAAGACAAACAAACAAACACACACAAACACACACCACACACACACACACACCACACACACCACACACACACACACACCACACACACACACACACCACACACACACACCACACACACACACACCACACACACACACACACCACACACACACACACACGCACACACACCCTGGCTTCCCATGTTGAGGCTCAGACGCGCTGCGCAACTCTCATCCTGGCGAGGGTACTGAAGCAGGACCAAGAAGCTACACCCTACGAAAAAGGCAAGCGCAAAAGGATGAAGAAACACCACGCTCCGAAGTCACTTGCATCTGCAGGGCACTTTCTTAAAACCGGACGTGTGCGGACTCCTATGCTTTGCAGGCAGACTTCCCGAAATTGAATCGGCCAATTCTGCCGCATTTTCCCACAGCTGCCAGGTCCGTCGAAATATGCTCGAATTCTTTGCGAGCTTCGAACCTGCGCCCTTTGCACAATTTCACGCTGCACACGTCAGGCTATCTGCTCTCAATTGTTACTTGTCCTTTTTGTTCTCTAACCCTTTCCGCGCAGCATTCACCGCATCATCACCTTCCTTAGATATTCTTTCCCTCACGGCAACTAGGAGCAGTGCAACGTTTGCATGCAAGTGGCAAAAACCTTGCGGATGTTGAGGGCAATGCTACGAACAGCTAAAATCAGCAGCCATCCCTGCATGGAGTTAGCAACTCCCAGCACACTCAACTGAAATGTGAAGGTCACATGCGCCAGCTGGCCTGAATCCACACAAGTACGGCCAAAGAGAAAACCACTAGGCATCGACCAGGATATCCAAGTGAAGCACCCGCTTGACGATCCTGTGATGACAAAAAAGGCAAAAGCCACCAAGCACTGGCTTAGTGCATCACCAATGCAATCTGAGTGAGGCGCCAAGCGCAGGTAAAAGGTCACAAACTGCTTAGCCACCCACAGGGCATAACCTTAGCGCCAACACACTTGTGGGGGATCAGTGTTGTCATCCTGGACATGTGGGGTAAATAAAGAGCATGGTTGGGTCAATCGCAGCACCCGTGCCTCGCGGTGTGCCACTCATTCGCCACATTCGGGCTACGCGGGGCAAATGCTCCGCAAGCCTGCACAAACTTTCAAACATCAGGGCGCCGCAGAAGTATCGCAGCTGGCCTTTCGGCAGTCAGGTAGTCGCGATCCTCCACCCAATGCTCAGAGTCGTCAAAGGCAACCACCTGAGTTTTGGCTTCCATGCTTTTTTGGTGCCACTGTCATGTTTCTTTATTGGATTCCGCCATGCTTTCTCACTCTCCTCCCCTAACTGCGTGTTCAACAAGTGTCTAAAGAACGCACGCAAGAGCAACAAAAACTGGGCTGAGGTGTTGTTTGCTAACATGTCGAACCCCTGAAGCTAAACCATACAAATACATGTCAATGGGTCGCTGCTGGCTTTCCACAAATTGGACCACCAATCTTGGGACCAAGCACCCGTGGAAGCTCATTAGCACGCACGCCAAAGTACTCGAAGCCAGGCAATCTACCATCAGCAACTCCCAAAAATCCTTGGCTTTCCAAAGCGCGGCAAGTAACTGCGCGGAGCAGGCTGGCTGGGAAACAGTATGAGTTTTGTTTAGGGTGTAGTTCTTCTCCTTACCGCTTGCCTGATCTAACATGCACTGGGAAGATGTAAATAAAATCACTGCGCAACCTACGGGCAATCCGTTTCAGGCTTCAAGCCACATGCAGCATGCTGGGCCCAAGAGATGACACGTTGCCTTGACAAGGTCTGCTTCGGACTTTGCAGTGCGATTGCAAGGTTTGCTCCCTGCAGGATAGATATTGTCATAACACATTCTTCGAATGCCTTTTCCTGTTCCTCGGCAAGTCACTGTAAGTTCTGCCAAGCTTCTGTCTCTCTCCCTGTATGTGTAAAGCTCCATACCGCCAGATGCGGTTGGTGGAGCTACCTGGCGGCGGCGAATTTAGTAATGGCACGCGCTCAACACACTGTAGAGCAATGCCAGGAACGACTTTGCGCACCTTCTTGAGCTGCATCTCCACCAAGATATTAGATTCAATGTCATGCTTGTTCACTGCCAAGAGTACCTTGGACGGTGTTCCCCAGATGCCAGGCAGACTGAAACATATTGCCATCGGCCACACGTAGAAACATAGCTGCAGAGAGTTCCACCCAACAAACACCAAACTGGCCTGCGATTTGGTCAGGTTTGAGCTCAGATTCTGTGGGTCGACCAGCGCTCACCCACAAGTGGAAGTTGCGGAGGCCCAGCGCAGTTATGCCAGGATAATGATGCCTGGCAGCCACCCCTGGCCTTGCGTACAGCTTCTACGTTGCACCTGCCGAGGTGCTGGGCCACCCACGCCACCAAGTTCTGGTCGTCCTCCACGACCTGATGCAAGTTCAACTCAGCTGGGAGTAAGGCAACTTGACATGGCCATTGGTCAAAAGCCCGTACCCCAGTGAACATCCCAATTCCCACTAAAATAGAGCAACATGGGTGGTGCACCTACCCCAAAATGTATCATTGGTTTTGACCCACAGCCACATCTGCAAAGCAGAGCTCCCAAGCTCTCGTTCTTGCCACACCTTCCTTTGCCAAGATGCCTCCTGGTCAGCCACGGTGACGGCAGCTTTCGCTCTTTCAGGCACTGCAGTCCACTGGAGAGATGCCGGAGAATACACCAGGACATGCTGGCCTCGGGTCTCGAGTGAAAGTTGCCAAAGGCCAATGCCTGCCACACCTTCTCCGAACTCATCGCACTTGTTGGTTTGGAAAGCTCGCAGGGTCAGCTGATGTGCCACGGCTGCCTGTGCCGCTGGCTGGAAACGCTGTGGGACCTCAAAACCCCGTCAGTCTTCGGAGCAGCCTTCCCAGCCTCCAAGAAGCCGCGCGTCAATGGCGCACACAGGACCAGAGACAGTTCTTCCAGCTGATTCAAGCTATTCAGCGGAGAAACCTCAAGTGCACGTGGATGCGTGCGGCAGGTGCGCAAAAGCCCTGAGTTGCATACCAAAGGCTTCATCAACCTCTGGACGAACTGCAGCATCAGTTCCTGCACACGCCAGGAAGCCCCCGAACATGATGCTTGCAGCGGTCCTTTTCCCAAACATTGCGGTATCTAGCTGCACCTTCACTGCGCCTGCGATGTCTGCAAACCAAAGTGTCTGCCCCGTCACACAGGTCCAACCTGTAGGGCACCCGACGCCCTTGCTGCAGAACAACCTCATGGGGAAGCCAAACAAGCTGCTTCTTGGACGTCTCCACCTGCACAGCTCCGCAAGGACGCCCTGACATGTGGCTCAATGCCACGTCTACGTGTCAACGGGCGCCTGCAGCGTCATGTCCTTGTCATCAGCACGGCGCACGGTGACTTCCTGCCCGGCCAGCGCCAGCCGAGATCTATCGCGCTCTTGGCCCAGATTGGCGAGGCGGCTGGCACGAAGAATGAAGTCCATGTCCGTGTCCACCACCTGAGGCGCCAGCATCTCCAAAAGCTGCGTCAGCGCAGCTGGGTTAAGGCCATTGAGACAGAATAGCATGCCTCTAAGTATACGGCAAACATCTTGTCCACAACTTCGTCCAAGGACCCAGATTGCTGCCTCCAGAACAGAAATCCTGGAAAACCCTCCAGGTTGAACGTCCTCTTCATGATGTCCTTGCTGTGGGTGCAGTCTGCATGAGCAAGAACGACCTCGGCATACGCAAAAAGAAACATTCAGGCCTTTTCTCACTGGCCAGCCAACACCTTTGCATCAGCCTTTTCGACCGTTCCGGCTCTCGGACAGGCAGCCGGCTCACCCTGGAGCTGCTCGGCAATTGCCGCCAGCTCTGGCAGCGCTTGCCGGCAGTGGGGGCAGTTCGCATCATGTAAGAGGAGCGCAGCGTGGCTGCTCTGCCTCTTGGCGCGCAGGAAATCCTCACGCAGAAATTGCTTGCAAGCAAAGGGTGGCCCTCTGAATTACCCTCAACCGTGTCATGATTTTCTTCTTGACCTCCACTGTTGTCACAAAAAAGAAGAAGAAAAACAACGTGCTTCAGGACAAGTTCCGCACCAACGCTGCCAAGCATCCGAAATCCCATCTGCACTTGCCTCGACGGTCTGCAGTAAGGGGCTCTGCGCTGCCTCTTTGTACAACTCCCAGCTCAGGTTGGCTTTGGCCAGGCTGACAAGCAGCCACAGCTCCCACATGGTGGACCCAAATGAGCAACTTTGATGCGGTTGATCCTGGATTCTGAGACACAAAAGCTCGGCTTGATACGTCGATACGTTTGTCAAAGTTGTGATGTGTTGCCGTGTCATTTTGTACTGTGCCGTTACATTCAACAAGTCATCTGGAGGTTCTAAGGGGAAGGCTCCCGATTTAGAATCTTTATTGAACAAATCTGTAGCCTCATGTGGCTGGAGTTTCCAAGCTTGATAAGGCCTACCGTGCTTCCGGGAGCCAGACAAAGACTCCAACTCAATTCGGAAACCCGGAGCCAAGACCTTGCCGATCCGACGCCACAAGAGCACCAAGCGCAACCACGAGCCCCTCCGGCCTCCTCGCCAACACAGACTCAGGCTACTTTCCACCTGTGACCAAACATGGCAGGCAAGAGGCAGCGCACCATCCCCACGGCGAGCGTCGTGCCATAGCACATTCCGGAGTCATGCTCACAAGAAAGGGATTTGGCCCTAACAATACTAAACAGTAAGCAGTGAGGGAACATGCGGCACGGCAGGGGGTAGCATTTTCCAAGGAGACTACTTGGCGTTGTTGCCATCAAATTAGAAGCCGTGAGCTTTGCTTCAGCCTCTATTGCGTGCCGTACGCGCACGGATTGCATGGGGGAACGACCAAGGTGTGAAACGAGGCATTGGAGGCCGGCCTGCACATGTGGCTTGTCTGCCAGGCAGTTGCCATACCTCCCCGTCTCCCGATCGATCAGCAATGTTGTAGTGCTGGGAGTGCTGGGGGTGAAACAAAGGCTGCCGTTTCCTCTCATGGTTGTGCGCCTTGTCGGTGTTGATAAATCAGCGGCTGGCAGACTTCACACTGAAGGAAGCCCTGGCTGTTAACATTGCGAGCAAGCCCGTGCGTTCTGGCAAAACTCATTATGAGATTTCCCCTTCTACGCCTTATTGAGCCCTGGGAACGAATGTTCTGTTATGTTGCTGCCTTGGTGAACCTGCCAATGCCTGGGGCAATTTTCACAATGGCTTGGCACCTGTCCGCAGAGCTCATCACCTCCGCTTGCAGCTCCATTTCCGTCCACATCATCTCGCCAAGATGGGCTCCCCGAAAGCATTCGCCTTGGCACCGTGCTCTTAAGCCAAAGAAGAATTTGCATCCACACCAAATTCCTAATATCAATTTGGTCAAAACCTCCAAGGTCATGCCCTTGACAAGCATCGCATCTGTGCCCAGTCCTTAATGCCCTGGAGCCCGCGCAGCCAAGAGACATGTTGATCAAGTGTGTGGACTGGGACGGTAGCACCCTGGGCTTGCCCAGCTTGCCACCGGAGTCCTGCAAAAAGCTGTGCGTAGGTTTCAGCACAGGGCTGTGTAGAATGACCACTTCTGTGATGCAACGGAAAGGGCTTTCCAAAGACTATTGTGTTCATAGAAAGGGGGATTCCCTTGTATCACAGAAGTGGGGAGAAACCCCTTGATCCCACAACCCTGTTTCAGCATGCCAGAAAAAGCTGACACTGCAAACAAATGAGGATGTTTTGGCGTCTAAGTGAAATGCTGAAGAACCAGGCTTTTGGCGACCAGGCGTCAACTCGCTGTGTTCGCTCTGCGCTTGTCCAACAGGTTCTTTGAGGCTCGACGTTTCTAAATTCGAACGGAGAGCAACACATTCAACCTGCTCGCCCAAAAGAAAAAGCGCAGCACCGCACCTTGCCAGGACCACACGTCCTCAGCGGGCTTGCTCTCTCTGCCCTCTCGGCGCACGGACTGAAATCAAGCGAAGGCTCCTCCCACAACACGTCTGCTGTGCAAACGCGCGAGGATCCTGCCAACTGTAACCTGGGAGGCGCGTTCATGCAACCAACGACCATGCCACTTGCCAGCCTTCGGACCAATCGGAGGCCACCTGCTCCAAGTAAAGGCCTCGCGCCCAGTGCACCACCAAATGACCAAAAACAGTTAGTCCATGCTTCCAAGCGGCTATCCCATAGCAAAACAACCAGAATCACGGACCTCGGCAACTCAATTTCACAGCACGCCGCAAATCGTTGAAACGCGGGGACTGCCAGCAATGCGACATCATGGAAAAGAGCATGGGAAACATGACCTCGAATCGCTCGTGCAGCATTTGCTGTCTGGCTGCGTGATCATGTCCACGGTGTAGTGGAAACGAGCCGCTGCTACCAGGGCCACTTCCAGAAACACGCAAAACGCACACAGCAAGCCGACCTCGGTAAGCTGAGCGCATGCCTTTCTAAGGCTGCGGATTTCGGTGTTTTGGGGCTGCCGCAACCCCGAAGGCTAGAAAGTGACCGTTTGGGCGTTGGTCTAAACCGGTGAGCTAGGGCAAACCATGCCTAGACTTGCGCAGTCCTGTCCGAATCCCTTGCCAATGCTGACGGAGCTGCCCAGAACTGGACCTTGACAGCCAGCAAGCTCCATGAACCACAGCCAACTGTGGAAAAATGCCCCGAGCGCCGAAAAAGCATTCCGTCCGAGCTTCTCTTTTCGTCAGCTCGATGGCTCCAGTCAGCTTGTACGCAGCCAATGAAAATAAGCAGGCAAAGTACCTTGAAGGCCATCCATTTCATCTCGGCGTGTGGGTTTGGTAAATACTGTTATTTGGCTGTGGGTCAAAACCAATGGTAACTACCATTTTCGGGTAGGTGCACCACCCATTCTAGTCTACTTTAGTGGGGAATGGGATGTTCAGTGGGGGTGCGGGATTTTGACTAACAGCCATTTCTTTAGACCTGACCTGCCCTTGCGAAAGTCCATCTGAATGGCTGGTTTTCAGCCAAACCACGTATGCCCAGAGATCATCATGTCCTTAAAAGGCAGCTCAGCATGCATATGGGCGCGCCTACTTTGAAAAACTCGCTGCACGGCAAGCCCGCTGGCCCTTGCTGAATGGATGATTGCAGCGTGGCTTCAGCACAATAGCGAATGCGCTTCCCCTCAACGCCAAATATCTCATCACTGATCGCCTACCAGGGGTCAAGTGGTCGTGGCAGAAACATCCTTGTGCCTTCAAGCACCCACTTCCCCAGATTACGATCATATGAATCCAACCAGATTGTCAAGTCTTGGCCACCATTGCATGCTTTGAGTTCGCCCCGCCGCGGCCATGGTGTGCGCAAAGTCCGTAAAGAAATGCCGGTGCAGCATCTTCCTCGGGCGGTGCAAGCCACCCCAATTGCCGGCAAAAACGTGGCCATTGCTGGTGTGCAAGGTTCAAGTGCAGTGCCGTGGCCTTGACACTGTACGTACCGTTCCAACCGGTGCCACACGGGGCAAAGGGGAAAGCAGTTTCTGAGGGCCTGGCTGGAGGCCCACTTCCCCAAGCCGATCTTTGCACCTTTCGGACGCAAGCGCTTTGCACTCATTGGTTCTGCGCTTGAACGCCAAGCCACTGTTGCCAGCCAATCGAGTCAGGCAGGACCGTCACTACATCCAGAACGCCTTTCATGATTGCCATACCTTGGTTCTAGCATGGAACTGAGCCCTGTCTGGGCCCGCATGTCGCCACGTCGCCATGTTTGGACTTGGGAAACTCACTGCAAGCGCACGGGTAATGAAAGCGAGCCGCAGCAGGCAATCAGGAAGGTCTTGTACCACAAGCCAATGTGAAATCGCTTTTGGACAAACGAATAGGCGAAGCATGACCTCAAGTTTGAGACCAGTGCTTTGAGGTGGGTGGCTCTTGCGAGAGCCTTCCGCTGCATGTCAATTCAATCACTCAGGCACGGGCACGCAAAGAAACGCTGGAATGATGCCTGGATGGGATGGGATTTTTGACACAGCAACGTGCAAGCTGGCCGGACCAACTGCCGCCTGACAAGTCTAGAACGATCATAGGAATCTTGATGTTGCCATCCCTCACCTGAACTCGTGAGCACTCCCACAAGTGCTCGGAGGGTACACAACCCACCAAGCCACGCAACGCAAAAGCTCGGTGCAATGCCAAGTTGCCGCTTCTGTCGGGTCGCTGGTGGAATTCCTGAGCTGGCATGCCTTTCATGGTCTGCCCAAGAACATTTATGCCAGCCCTCGGCAACCACCATGCAACAGTGCGCAAAGCGGCGTTGCTGCCATTCGTGCTACCAAATCAAATAGTTCTCCACCTGCAGGGTGCCGTGACAACGCTCGAAAACAAGCCGACCAAGCTAGTCGCACAGGGGCGAAGCACCCGGTTCTCTTCAGCGTGCATGCCACCGAAACCGAGCACACCGCTATCTCAACAAACACCCCCGCGCCTTCGACTGCGGCTAAATCCACCGTGGAGCCAACTTTGGCGCCGAGAGATTCTACCGAATTTTGCAGCCGATCCTCGCGTGGCCGTGAACTTCTGAAGGCGTGAAGCTGCCTTCATGCCTTGACATGCCTTGACATGCCTTGACATGCCTTGATATGCCTTGACCGCTTGCAACACATGCCCGAAGCAACGAACAATGGCACCGGACAACACACCGACACGCCCTGTCCATGTAGCGCACATAAAAAGCCGTGGCAATGTGGAGGAAGAAGCTTTGGATGGCAAAGCACAGCATAAAAAGCAGCACTGGGAAAATCACATACCAGGCCTTGGTCAAACTCGGCTTTAATTCTCAAGGTCTAAGCATCAAAGTGCAGCCAGCCGGCCCCAGCATGCAAGAAGGAAGCAAGACAGGCAAGCAACCAAAGCACCAGGGCACAGTGGCGCCTCATAGCCTCATGCAGCCATGCGGCTTGTTTCCACAATGGTGTGTAAAGCTCCTTGTCGTCCATGTACTGCGCACACATGGCATGCTGGCCGACTGGCCACGTAACAATGCGGCTGCATGCAGAAGAACCAAGATACTGATGAACATAGGGATGAGACGAGCAATGAGCCTGCCTTTTTGCTGAGCAATCGCGGGTAAACCGCGGCTCTTCTTACCTCAAGCGCGCAAACTGGGATCTGTCCACCATCAACCAGGTTGACCCATGTGCCGCTGGCTTAAGGACTTGAGGATTTGCTTTTCGTACACGACGAAGGTCAGCGCGGCGCAGCTGCACCGATTCATAAGGACTACCATTCGGCAAGCTGAATTAACTAACGTGTCGATGGATGTTCCTCGCCACGTTGCTGCATTCATCTCTTTGGTAGACAGCAGTCCTGGCAGAACAGAACTTCGCCCACCGCTGGCCCATGCTCAGCATGTGTGTGTGTGTGTCATGGTTCATGCAAACCACCTCGATGGAAGCCAAGTTGCGATAGATCTCTGCCAGCACGAGGAGCTGCTTGACCTCCTCCGACGGCCCACCAGGCATTGACTGGATGGTGGTCTTAAGCTCTTGCCGTTTATCCTCATCCATGTGATCCTCGCAGAAGCGACATGAGGCCCGAGCACAAACCGAGCCAAAGCATGCCGCAAACGTTGCAGCTGAAGGTCCACAAATCTTTCAATGGTCTTCTCCCAGGTCTCCTGGCTTCGCGATTGGGGGGGTTGGTGAGAGCTGGCAGTGCGAATCCTTCGTCCAAGGGTTGATCAACACATTGTAAGTTTACACCTGGAGGGCCACTCAAGCAAAGCAGAATTTGCAAATGTTTTCAGCCGGGTGTTTGCGGGTTGGCGATTCATGTTTTTGGTGGCTGTAACGACCGTGCCTCCTCAACCGCTTCTTTCTCCAGCAGCGTCTTGATCTTCTTAAACATGGTTCGGTTCTGATTTGTCAGCTCGCCAAGTCCTCCTTGCAGAATGCTATGGTGGACTGCGGTAGCACAAGTTCACCCCAAGTTGTCGCCTCCGACATGCTCACCAGTCCTTTAAGGAGCTGCGTCAAAGGGCAACCAGCACACCGTGTCAGTGCCAAGCGAGCTTGCCAGCCATAGGGATCAGTTGCATCTGGAACCAGTGGCAGGTTGCCTGCACTTATGCGAATGACCTCCTGATGGACCATTGGACAGGCGCAAAAAAGTTTGCCAGCTCCGAATGCTGAGCATGCCACTCTGGTGACTTCGATGTACTGGCTTGGCTTCCTGGTGGTCCACTTTGGAATCGTCCATGTCCTCGTCAGGGCGACGATTTCCACAAGCGATCCCCACTGCAAGCCTTTGGAAAGTACCCATACGGCTTTTAACGGGAAGCGAATGAACTCGAAGTGCACCGCGCAACAAGCGAACCACCCCTGCCCGCTCCAGGCAGATGGAATCCAGCACGTCCCACTTGAGGCTAAAATAGCATCGGCATGGCAAGAGGTTGGGATCCTTGTAATTCCATGACGCAAAGGGCACAAAAGGAGCCAAGGGATTAACTAGTTGGGTCAATCGCTTTTTGGAAAGGCCGAAACCCGCCAGGCGCAACACGCTTCGCAAGGCACGTCACAACAACAAGGCTTCAGCAGCATGCCACGAAAAGGGCCTTTACTTGTGCCTCCACTCAGCTCACCCAAGTCGAGCCTCTCCTTCGGGAGCTGGAGCTGCGCGCTCGGTCCATGGGAATCCTGAAGTGGAGCTGAACTTCAGGACATGCAATTCGCTAAGAAGAGAGGCATGTTGTGGCGCAGTGATTGCCACGCATGCTATTTCAGATGACTGTTTGGGTCCCCCCCTTTTCACACGAGTTATTTTCTCTCTCGCACAACTCGTCACTTTGCATCCATACCAGAGCAGCCACCCTTGATAGCCGCGGCAACGTCATAGCGGCACAGCTTGTAGACATCATCAAAGGTGCACGTGACGACTGCTGAAGAATTTCCATCTGCATGCAGGAAGTACTTTGTCTCACACTCTGCTTCTGAAAGATCATTGCAGTGCTGGTCCGCCTTGAGCACCGTCATATTCTGACGAATCTGGGTGCATTTACTGCTCTCACAGCAGGTGTCGTCGCTCGAGCCGCCCACAGTGGCAGCAGCCTGGACTGGGATACGGCCTTCGGCAGAGTTGCAAGAGAAAATGCTGCACGCTGGCTCGCAGCAGGCGCTATTGCTGCTTCCAGTGGCGTTCTCCTTGCCAGGCACCGGCAGCCAACTCTCAGTGGCATTGCAGGTCCATTGCTTGCATGTGGCAACGCAGCATTGCGTCTCGTTGCTACCCACCGTCTCCACATTGGACGGCGCCCATCCATCTTCCAAGGAGCAATCGAACTGCTTGCACGTGGGAAGGCAGCAGTCTCCATCATCTTCACCAAAGTCCTCTTGCTTTGAGACATCAGGGGCCCAACCAGCGCTGCAAACGTGAGCTTTGCACTGCTTTGTGCAGCAGGACTCCGCGGTTCCGTCGGAACTTTTGTTCTTCGCACCCTCCTGCACCAAATGGCCAAAGGGACAAACCGTTTTGGCGTTGCCACATGTTGGGGTGCAGCAAGCCCCTGGCGAACTCCCAACTTCAGACGCCTTGCTCTCGTTGACCACCCAATCTGGCAAGGAGCAGTTCACCATGGCACACGTCTGATCACAGCACTGCTCCGGCTCGTCGGAAACCACCTCCTTCTTGGCGGCGCTGGGTGCCCAAGGGGCAGTGCAGTTGAAGAGCTCGCACTTGGGAAGGCAGCACTCCTCCTTGGTAGTGCCAGCGGCACGGCTGTCTGCCAGCACGTATCCCACATCACAGTGGTACTCAGAGCCACACATCTTGTCACAGCAAGCCTGCACTGAAGAGCCGACGTTGCCGAAGTAGTCCTCGTTGGCCTTATAAGCCCCCGTGCACTCGAAGAGCTCGCAAGTCTTGTCGCAGCATTCCTCCGGAGTTGACCCTTCCAAGGTGTGATGGCCAACCTTTGGTACCCAAGCTTTAGGGCACCGCACTTTCACACACGAGGGGGCATCAGCCTGGATCTTGCCATCTTCCAATAACTTCTTGCTGCGGCCCAACGCCAGCAGGGCGAGTATGCTGGCGACTGTCTTCATTGCGGGACGTGAACTCCAACTTGAAGCGAAATGAAACGCGGAGATTCGAGTCTGGAAAGCGAGCATCTTTCAAACCCAACAGGATTCAAATGAACACTGAAGGCTCACCTTCCCAAATCCTTGCAAGCTGCGAGCGTGGGCTGGCAAGGCTGAGGCTCCAGCAACGCGCGGGCGCCCATCTCCCAAGTCTTCCGCATAACGAGTGAAACGAATCTCTCTCGAAGTTGGGGACCTCGGGTTCTTTTTGGTTTGCCGTGTGACTGAAGGTTGCTGCAATGGCCAAACAGCGCCAGAAACATCAGACCTGTCGTCTGTTGAGAACAAAATTGCAAGTTGCGAGCGCACCCTCCACCAGATTCTCTCACTTTCAACCCTGTCAACTTCTTCCTCAGTGGCAGTAACCTGATGAGAGAAGAGGCCGCCGCTCATGCCAAACACTCCTGGAAGCGTACGCGCGTCTTGTTCTCCGGATGCCGGGCGAGGGTGGGGCGCAAGCCACGAGGCGGGGGGGAGTTCGCCATTGTTCAACTCCAGCTTGCTTCCTTGCTGTCACCCCCCTGTGATGTGTTCGGGCTCAGGGCCTCTAGCTCCTGGGTTCGCGCCGCATCTCAGCTCTAGGTTTCAAAGCTTCTTCGAGCGTCGTATCACGTGCCTCGCACGGCTTCTTGGCTGTTGGAACGCACCCCCCTCACGCATGGAGGAACCACCGGCGCACCTAGCCGGGCCCGTCGAGAAACTGCACAAATCGGGAGTTGAGCGTTGGGGTTTTCTTCGTTTGAGAAATTAAAGTGTTTTCTTTTCTCGCGTCTGGTTTGGCATTCATTAAGGCAACCGGCGGCGGCGGCAAGAAGGACTTGGGATCCCCTATGAAGGGATCAGAGCCAGCCTCATCGTCCTCAAGGGCCAGGACCACCATCAAGGAAAAGAAGCGGGAATCTTTGAGGGAATCCTCCTTTGTGCGTTGTGGAAGCGTTAAAGGCCGGAGGGTTTGTAGGTGGCCGGCAGATCTGTCTTCATGCACCAGCGCTCGCGACGCCAACTACGTTTCAAGCGGATCCCTCCAACATCACGACTTCAGTTCGAAGTGGGTGAGTTCCGCATGGTACCAAGCTTGCTCCGCGCCGCTGAGGCGCCACTGGGAACGAGCAGGGGTTGGAGGCCACTTCCTGAGAACGCCTATGAAAGGAAAGCTAGGAAGGAAGGCCTCCTACCACCTTCACACAGTTCTTGACCATAGATCATCTTCATCTTGGGCCCATGCCTTCGCGCCAGTCCGCCGCTTTGGGTTCCCATGAGGGCCCACCCATCGATCCCAAGAGTTCCTTCTTTCGCGTGACAAATCCTCCCCGCCAGCCAAAACATCAGCCGGCTGAAGGGGGTCTGTCCCAGAGTCCTGGGCTCTTGCAAGCCCAAGTGAGCGCTGCGGCAGGCAAGGCCGGAAAAGGGCAAAGGTGCTCGCCCGGGTCGTTCATCGGGAACCGTAACCGTGGCGATGCGCAAGCCTCGGCCTCCAGGGGGAAACCCATCCCGAAAAAGCGCGGGGAGGCCCGCCACGAAAGCCAAGCGTGGCAAAGCAAAACGATCAGGCCAGGTGGGTGGGCGCCAAAATAGCCACGGCCCACCACCACCCTGGCCTGCTAACATGTCATGCACCTGTTCCTTCTGCAAGCTTCACCCATACGCAGGTTTTACAACATGAAAGCTCGGAAAGGGTGCTCCGCAAAAGGCTGCAAGCACTACACTGGCTCTGGGTCTTCTGTGCTTTGGATTGGCATGCTAGCAAGTTAGTGCGCTTGCCTGTCTTCGAACGCGGGTGCAACTGCTCTGGCGACAGGTCATGGAAAAGACACTCATGCGTAGGAATCTATGCATCCGTTGGCGGCTTGAGGCCGGCTGCATCGCATGCACCGGCTGATGCTTGTCATCATAGCGTGCCTTGCTCTTTGAATGTGCTGAGCATTGAATGCGATGTGCCAAAGCAAGTCGCTAGCATGTTGTTCTGACGTCGCAGCTGTCCCCACACTGCCTGAAAGTGAGTCACTCACTTCGTCGAGCAGGGTGCATCTTGCACGCACCCCACGGCAAAGCACAAAGGGAACCAATGAACAGCTCCGGTCAGATTTGCCGGAACCGTTTCCATAAGGCATCGATGCAGAGCACCCATGCATCCCCGTGTCCGATGCCCAAGAAGGGTACATCAGAACTGGGTGGGGCAAAACCTGAAAACTGCAGCTTGAAATTGGGGAACCTCCAAAGGGTGGTTCCCTGTACCCGCACCAAAAAAAAAAAAACTCTGCAGCTCAAGAAGAAGTCAGCTCGTCAACTCCTTCGTGGCTTCTTCTGGGGTGGATCGATCTCCATGACCTCCAAGCTCCATGCCTCGGTCCCAATGGAACGCAGCTGCCTGGGAGAATGTTGAGAACTTGAACTGTCAACGCGCAACAAACCTCAGAAGAGCTTTGAGACATCTGATTCTCTGCAAACCTTCCCTGTTACTTGAAACCTGGCCATGCAACTTGCAGGCCCCGACCGCAAATCAATACCTACGCATGCAGAATTCACCGCATGCCAGAGACCCACCACTCTGCACCCCTTCAATTCATCTCCCCAGGCATCGCGCTGTGAATGCCGCTGTTCCGATAGGCTGCTTCGCCGCGGGCCAACCAATTTCCGTCATGATCAATTGATCGTCTTGGGCATGACGGGAGTCGCAGCAAGTAAATGCCACGCACAGTGGTTGGAACATGAAATGAACATGGCGAGTGATATTTTGTTCAAGCTGCGCATGGCGTGATAGGACGCACCACATGTGAGAAGCAAGCTGCAGACTAGCAGACCATACACTTGGGTAAGATTGTTCTGGATAGGGTCAGGAGCCTATTGCAACTACTCGCTCCGCTTGATCTTACCTTTAAGGAGGTTGTTATGCACTGTCACATGTTGCATTTAGAAGGATTATAAACTGCCCGCCAACTGTTTAGTACAAGCCTGCAGCCTGGCTGTGTGGCTGAACCAGTCCAAGATATCCAAGGACCAAAGGCCGTCAAATCCTACTCAAGAACAACAGAGACAGTCCTTTCTAGAATTCCAGCTGAGCCGCAGTTGAGCAGCCCTGGCCATCCCGAACCGCACGATCTGCCTTCAAAGACATGAGCTGTTCTACCATGCCTGCCAGCACAGGCCTGCCTCTTGCTCGAACTCTGTCGCAGCCACCGTTGCTTGGGCAGCAGGGCAAGCATCCTGAATCACGGACACGCTCAATGACTCCTCGGGCAAGCTCTGGCTGCGCTCCTGCGGCTTGGGGCTGTCCGGCCGTTCGGGCTCTTTCGGCGCTACTCCTCCTTCTTGTCCGCCGAGTCCCTCCTGAGGCGCGGCCGCATTGACGGACAGCTTCCATCAAAGCTCCCAGACAGCAAGTCACGTGGGCAGACAATCCGGATAGCACCGGTGACCATTGCTTGATCCATTTTGAAAGGGGCGCAAGTTGCATTCTGCGACACGCGCGTCACAAGGTCCGCTCCACGGGTCCTCCACTCGACACGTCACCTGCGCAAAGGTCGGCGCCACATCCCCGGCCAGGGCCTCCTCCAGCTGCTGCGCTGCGGCGGGCAGCCCTTGAAGCAGCACCTTGTCCCACAGGTCCAACCTCGGATCTCCCAAACTCAAGACTCGGAGGGGGCCCAGGACGAAAAACTTAGGACCGGATGTGATTTTTGAGGAAACCTCTGTTTTTCACCGAAACCCCAAAACCAAAAACCAAAGAACCGAACAAGCCGTCCAGGCCCATTGAAACCGCCCCGGAAACCCAGCCGCCATCTTTGCAGCCCCCCGCCTCCGGCCCAGCTCCGCAGAGAGGGAGCCGCCGGCCTTGGCCAGGCGCTCTGCCAGGCCTTCGGACTGCGCCAGGCGCTGCTGCGCGGAGCTCGCGGAGATCCTCACAAGGCAAAACCTCCAGGCTGATCGAGATGTGCTTCCTGCAGATACATACATGTCAACTAATATATATATATATATGTATGTATGTACGGATGCAAATCATGTCGCACGAGCGCTCACAAATACTCCCTGGGAGTCTATGGTCTGTGTGTCTTTTGCATATACATGTACATGAATGTAGAGTAACGGGCATTATATAGGTTTATGTCTATTTAATTGTTTATTTGTGTGTGTGTGTATGCATGCATGCATGCATGCATGCATGCATGCATGCATGCATGCATGCATGCATGTATGTATGTATGTATGTATGTATGTATGTATGTATGTATGTATGTATGTATGTATGTATGTATGTATGTATGTATGTAACGTATGCGTGTGTGTGTGTTTGTCTATTTATTGATTTGTTTGTTCATTTCAATTTTACTACCTTATTTATTGGTTTTATTATTATGTGTGTTTCATTCATTTACTTACTTATGCATTTACATATGCAGGTGACTCACAAACCCCCGGCCTTGCTGTGTCCACCTCTGACTGAGCAGCGGCTGCTTGGCATTCCAACTCCGCCCGCTTGGACGTGGCAGCATCCAGCTCCGCACGCGCCTCTCTTTCCGTGGTCTCGGCCTGTGGTCCAACCCTTCCCACGACTGAAGCTGACCATTCATTGGGCATGTATCAAAACAGGGGGGGCCCACACACACATACACACAGAGACACATAGAGACACACAGAGACACAGAGACAGACACAGACACACTTTGATCGCCGCGCAGCTTTTATGGCTCAGTGCCCTACCGTAAGTCCTCGCCCTAGGGCCTACCTACATGTCGAGCGATCCCTTGATCCAGCCAACAAAGATGCATACATGCGTGGCACCGGATATGGCAGTTTCCACATCCATCAAAATATCTTTTAAGTGCCACGCTCACCCACTCAGTGCTTTCAGCACTCATGCACGCCCGGGGCTATACACATCTCTGGCATAGCCGGCCTTGGCCTTCGACTTTGGCTTTGCAGCCACTTCGCACTCATCGACCCACTCACCGCTCTCATCGTCGGTGGCCAGATTGAACTTCTCCGTGAGGTCCGCCATCGCCACAACCTGGCCCGCGTCCGCATCGAACTCCTCCATGAGATACTTCAAAAGCTTATCCCTCCATCCAGGGAAATTGTGCAACTTCAGCCCCGCCACATTCGTGAGGTCGGCCACTGCCGCCCGAAACTCTTCCGAGTTGGGAACAGCGGGTCTAGCGCTTGAAGCGCCCAGGGTCTCCTTCTCCTTGACCTTCGCCTGCGCGTCCAGGTACGCCGAAACGGCGCCACCCTCCGCCATGACCGCGCGGACCGCGGTGCTCCACCATCGCATCCCATCAGGAAGCGGTTCCACTTCCTCGTTGCTGAGCATCTTCTTGTAGACACCGAGCACCATCTCCAGGATCTTGGTCACCTGATCTATGTACGCCGCTCCGGTCTGAATCTGAATGGCCGCGGTGTTCTTCGTGAATGTGACCGTCACCTCGCTGGACAGCCCCTTATAGGTCTTCTCTTGCACCCGCCCGAGTGCCATCTTCATCCTGCATTGCGATGCACTTTGCGTCAGCATCCGCCGGAACTCACCCTCGTTGCCCGCAATGGCCTCCGCGAGCTTCTCAAAGAAGGCCCTGATCTCCACCTCGGCAAAGCCGTGGGTCGTCACCTTCACCATGTCGGGCCCGCCTATCGCGGTCACTGCGAGAACTGCCTGGGGGGGCCGAGCCAAGTATGCCTTCCGGGCCGCTTGCTTTTGACCCTCGGTTCTAGCTTGACGCTTAGCTCGCTCTGCTGCTGCTGCTTCCATCATGCTGCTTTCCTTGCTGAGCTGATACCGCCCACTTCTCATAGCCGCTCTCAACAGATCCATGGCCTCAGGGTTTTCCTTAGTCAAAGCATCTGCCAGTTGCAACCACGTGGGGGCCCATCTGACGCGTCCTCCTATCCGTCTGATGGATTCACGTATGATAACCAAGTCGATCGCCACCCGTTTGTCCCCAACTGAATTCGGTGATGAAAAAGTCTGAAGGTGGTCGTATACTGATTTACAGTCAACCACCGCCTGGATACTGAATCTGTGCAGTACCTCGTGCCTCTTCCCCAGATTGATCACCCCATCAATCATCTCAACCAAATGACATGCTAACCATTCTGCATGTCCCAAACCGTCCGCCAACACTTGCGTCTCCCCAGCAAACGTTGACCCAACCACACGCTTCAGCCTGTAGGATTTCCATGCCGCCGGAGTCCACGGTGCTGTCCGCCCGTCTTCGAGCGCGTCAGTTGTGATACCAACCAAATATCCTGCTTGTGTTCCTCCCTTCTTGGCATTTGCAAATGCAGCATCTGTGTGTAAACAAATTCTCAACTTGCTGATCGGCACTGCCTGAATCACCCACTGCAAATCTGCATGCTGTTTTGCTCGTTTCACAGTGTGAGCAACAGTCCGTGCCTGTTCCAAAGTTGGTGTCGGAAACATTTGTTGTCCCATGCTCACTTGCACTGCCAAGTCCGGGCGGGTCTCTTTGGCAACCCACAACGCTGCACCTAAGACGGAACGTAGCGATTTGATCTCTGCGGCATTTGCTTGCACTGTACCCGGATCCTTGCTGCGCAGCTGCGGCTTCTTCATTTCTGCAATGAACTCAGCTTGACTGACAGTGATGTCTTTGGTTTTGGGGTCCTGCTTCAGGGATGATCCGCAAAAGGTACCCTCATCGTACTTCCATTTTCGAAACGGGAAGGTTCCTCTCAAAAGCCGAATTGCTTCTTCATAGGACTTTCCCTTTCCCCCTGTGAGCACATCATCCACATGTACCCCCAACACACCTCCGATACCATGCGGTTGCAAATGGTCACGCCAATAGAAGACACAAGGATCCAATACTGACTGCCGCCAGTTCTGCTTCCGAAGCGTCTGCACGAATTTGCAAAACCAGAGCTGTGGCGAGTCGTTGAACCCATATAACGGCTTGACGACTTCGAACAGTACTTCTGGATGAACGCCCGTAAACTCGGCATTTCTCGGCTGCTTCAGATACAAGGGTCCCCGTTTTCGTTCAATCTGGTCACCCTCCAGGAAAGCACCCGTCACGTCTCCCAGCTGTAGCTGAAACTGGCAGCTCGCAATACACTGCAATACTGCGAAACGTCCGTTGGACGAAATGGTTGGAGACTGTGTCTTTCCTTCACGAACCAGCTCAAACAAGTCAGGGTCCTTGTCTCCCCTAGCCGTCCACCTGCCCTTGACTATGGTCTCTCCAGTCTCCTCGACCTTCTCCGTGAGGACGTATCGAGACTCCACCAGTCTCTCCGGAGATTCCCGCATCACCCGCCGCGATTCTTCGAGGCTAAGAGGCCGGAGTGCTTGCTTCTCATGCACGACATTGGAATACTCCTTCATTACCCCAGCTTGCATTTTCTTCTTCCCTTCCGCCTCTTGCCACTGCGGATCTCGCGGGTTTAGCTCCTTGCGGCCTCCGGCCAGCAAGCACTCAGCGGTGAATTCGTCCCCGTCATCTGACCCGCATGCTAATATCCAAGAGGTGTCCTCATCTTCATCATCTGGAAGCTTTTCCGACAAAACTGTTGCTTGCTTTGTACTGTCAATACAACCAACAAACATGGGCCCTTCGGATCGGCCCTGGCCGGGAACGGGAGGATGCAAATGCGGTCTCGAACTAGCCGGGGCAGGTAGGGAGGGTGGATAGATCTGACCAGCGACCTGTTGACCCTCAAATCTCGGTTGTTTGAGTTGTCGTTCCCCAGTGTCCTTATCTCTCCGCCCAACAGGGATACCATCCAAAATGTCTGCTTGATCGATTGACGCCGGCAAGTTGGTCAGATCTTGTCCCGACAAAGCACTCACCCGGTTCTCCCAAGACTGAACGCTCCGGCTGTCCGAGGATATCCATTCGGAGTCCCTTCCTATCGTCTGGTTGTCTGACGGAACTTCGGCTCCGGAAAGCTGAGAGCCCTCACTTTCCGGAACCGGAGGGAGCTCGCCTGCCGCCTCTGCCGCGCCGTCACGGCAATCTGGCAGTTGCTGCGCTTCGATCACCGGAGGAGCGGATCCTGGAGGATAATCAGCCCCTGTAATGTCCAAGAAATTCTTCTGGTGTGGGTTCGTGCCTCCAACCTCTGGGTAAAGATTGGCCGCTGCAAGCCTCAAATCCCGAACCAAAAATCTGTCGGCTTCTCTTTCCTCCAGGGTCCGCAGACGCAACTGTTCTGGCGAGCACTTGATGAAAGATCCAGGCATAGCGACCCAAAAATTGCCACCTGCTTCTCCTGCTATGATGCCCGGCCCTCGCCAGCGCGCGTATCCGCGTTTTCCGGGAATGCCCCGACCTCTTCTCCAAACCGCCACCTGGTCGCCATGCCTGAATTCTCGTTGCGGGCGCGGCCGGCTGTTCAGAGCCACCCGAGCCGCCTTGCAATCCGCGGCCTCGAGCACTGCTTTGCGCGCAAACTGTCGCACCAGATGGGCTCGGGCGGCCTCCGCATCTTCCAGAATTGCTCCATTTGCTATGGGGTTTGGGTCCGGTGTCAGAATGTCATCCCCTGGGATTTCCGGGTCACGCCCCAGGACCATCTGGTACGGGCTGTGCCCAGCCTTCCGCAGCAACATGTTCTTGGCTTCAACTGTGCAATCGACACATTCCACCCACTCGTCATAATTGCTGGGGTTTGCTTGGTCCAGAACTTTGATCAACATGTCCTCAAAATGCTTCCCCTGAACTTCTACGTCCCCAATCTGCTCATGCGCCTCCCCCGGAATATCCAATGGAGTTGTCCCATCCCGTTCCAAGGCGTCTATGAAGTGCTGCCCAAGATTGCATCTGGATGCGTCGAATTTCACCCACCGCGGTCTGCCATATGGCCGCGTCCACGACTGCCGATACAATCTCCGTATCAGGTCGGACGACTCTGTCTCTCGGAACGGGGTCATCTGCTGCAGTCCACTTCTCCGGCACACAACATTCAAGGCTTTGATCTTTTCCCCCCTGCGCCAGCTGGGAAGGTGCTTCACGTCCAAACCAACATATCGCAAAGGTGCCACATCTTTGGGGACTGCTGATGCACGAACAATCTTGGGTTCCTTTCTGGCCGCACATGTGGGACAGTCAAACGCTCGGACCATGTCTAACACTCCCTCAGAGGCCCCACGATGCTGCAGGATCCTGATCATGTCCGGAATGCTTGCATGCCCCAGATTGACATGCATTTTCTTGAGGGCATTCTCCACCTTCCGTCGACCCTCCCCTTTCAGTTCCTCTGTCGTCAACACATTTGAACATGCGTCTGACCAGTGGTCCTGCGCCACTGCTCCAGCCAGAATTCGTCTCACCAGCGTCGGTGGGTAGACCTGTGATTGGATGGATCGTGCGACCCCTCCCGAACTGCCTTCCACCAGCTGATGTTCGTGATCCCCGCTGCAAACCAACTTCCCCAATTGCAGCGCGATTGATTCGGATGACGTGATAAACCTCCACGATTTCCCAAAAGGTTTGCCAGAGTCCTTGTCCCTCAAACCAACTGCACATGCCGGGACGTCAATCACAAAATGTTTGTTGCCCAACCGTTGCACTTCTGGTAACTTCCAGGCACCCGATCCCCGTGCTGACTCGAAAAGGAAATGTTTCCCCACGTTGACCTGGCCTTCCGCCAAACTGCAACACCACCGAATCATGCTCTTGGCTTCCTCAACCTCTGCTGAAAATCGAGCCGGGTCGCGTCTCCGGGCACTGGGTGTTAAGTTCTGCAGCACCGACAACGCCCCACATGGCGGACTCATCGCCACCAGGTCCGGCTCAGTCTCCAGGATGGACTGCTGGGCTTCGCGCCTCGCCAACGGAACTCTCCAGTCCCATCCATTGCTAAGGTCGTAGATGCCCTTGCTCTCTAGGCCCACTCTTGCACACTCGTCCGCGAACCGCCCCGGCACGAATACCTCTGCCACGGACATCGGCTCGTTGGATGCTGCCATCACTTCCACCAGATTGGCCTGCAACTTCTTCCGCTGGTTGCGGCTCATGACGCACCACTGGCCTGCCTCCTCATCCGAGGAGTCAGCCCCTGGCTCCTTACTCGCCACCGCCAGGACATCCGTTGTGGGGATCCCGTCCATCAGGTTCAGCTGGTAGGACCCGTCCGGCGGCTCGTGCATCTCCACCTCCAGACCATTCAACACGAGCGTGTTCTTCTCCAAGTCCAATTTTGCACCCATTCCCTTGAGGAACTTCTTGCTGATGAGCAATGGGACCTTTCCCGGCACCACGTAGACCTTCATGCCGATGAGCTTGCCCCGGAGATAGCACGGAATCTGCACCCGACGAATGGCCTCGTCAGTCGACCCATTCCCATACCGAAACCGCTGCGGCTTCATCTTCAACTCCGTGATCTGCAGGCCGGCCTTGTTGAGGGCGATCTCGTGCTTTCGCAACGTCATCTCGCCCACGATGCCTCGCCCACATCCCGTGTCTAGCACTCCGAAGCCGGCAGGATGTGTGAGCAGGCATTCACTCACCTCCTCCCCACCGTCCATGCCCTCCTCATCGTCAGAGAACGTCTCCGCCAGGTTCACCGCCTGGTCCACATTGTCCAGCACATCCGTGGTGTCCTGCTCCCCCACGATCTCCACCTGCTCGGCCTTCGCATTCTCAAGGCCCTCCTGCAGCTGGTCGATCGTTTCGGTCAGGTTCTCCCCGTCCTTGTCCTCGGTCACGCGCCGTCTCCTCCTTGTCCCGGAACTCCTTGGTCTCGCCGACCGTGATCGGTCGCTTTCCAGGTCCGCTTGACCGACGTCTCTTCCACGTCCACCTCCGCCGGGGCCGCCCTTGATCCAGAAGATCGATCGCCCCGTCCAGAGTTGTCCCGCATGAAGATTAGCTTCTTGAGGTTGTCGCCATTGGTTCACGTACTCAAAGCTCCCGACCCCCTCGACGTCCATGATCGTCATTCGCTCGGGCTCCAGTTCGCTCCTGGGCACCGGGCATCCACCTCGCGGTTGATATAGTGCGTGACGTGGGACCTCGTGGATCCGGATGACCTGGTTGCCCTCCTGCACCCACGAGTCCTGCTTCTGGAGGAGCTCCTCGTCGTAGAACTCCATCTCATCCACAGTGTCGCCCTCCACCGGTTGCCCCGGTTCCTGGGAGACGCTGCTGCCCTGCTCTTCCTCTTCAACTGACGAGTGGGACGTGTAGGGCTCGTCCCGCTTCCACGGTGGAACTCGATGCTTTCCGCCGTCTCGCCAGATAGATCTCCTCTCCGGCACGTCCTTTCCATGAGGCCATGCCATGAACACGTAGTTCACGTTGCTGCCAGTGGCCTTCCCGGCCCGCTCGGCGACCTGCTTCTTCGGGCAGTTCCTGCTGAAGTGGCCGATCTGCTTACAGCGAAAGCATCTCACTCTCGCCTCCAACTTCTTCACATCCGGCTTCGGCCCCGGTGGGAGGCCTCGCGAGATGCGCTCCTTGTTGATGGTGGCCCGGGTCTGCTTCCAGGAGAGCAGCACCTCAACGGCGTCCTGCTCTTCCACCGCTTCCTCGCCATCGAAGGGGTCGAACTCCTCCGCTGCGAGCACCGCCTGGGTCATCCCGTCGTCACCCTCCTCCACCGTTTCCATCTCCACCGCGTGCACCCCTCTCGGGGCTCCTGATCCAAGCCCCTCCGGATACGTCGTCCTCAGGGCCGCCGCCACATCCCGTTCTTCATAGCTTTGCCTGGCTGCTGCCAGAATGACTGCCCGTCTCTCCGCACTGACCTTGGCGAACCTCAGCAGCATGTAGCCACGCGCCACCGACGGGAAGGAGATCCCCTCTGCCTCCGCCGCCGCAAACGCAGCTCTCACCTTGCCAGTGAAGTTCCCGGTCGTCTCTCCTCTGTCCACCTTCAAGTCGAAGATGGTGTCCATGACCTCACCGATGCGGTCGTGCGCCTCCTCTTCGGGGTACCTCTGATCCAATATCTCGTAGATCACCTCTTCTCCCCCATGTTCTTCCAGCCTTGCCATGTCCACCTGGTCAAAGGCCCGGAGCGCAGTTCCATCCAGCAAAGTGTACAGCACGGACCCAAACGCCTCGGCGGGGGTCCCCTTTGCCTTCTGCACCGTGAGGTAGGCCCGGCTCCAGCGTCGCCACCGACGGTATGCCTTGCTGCTCCCGTCGTCGCCATCTCCGCTGAATCTCTTGATGGCGGAGCTGAAGTCCTTGCCTTTGTCCATCTCGATCGCGATCTCCCTGATCGTGTCGAAGCTCTCGCTACCAATTTGATCGCCGCGCAGCTTTTATGGCTCAGTGCCCTACCGTAAGTCCTCGCCCTAGGGCCTACCTACATGTCGAGCGATCCCTTGATCCAGCCAACAAAGATGCATACATGCGTGGCACCGGATATGGCAGTTTCCACACACACAAACACACACGCACGCTCGCGCGCACGCACACACAACTGCGCCTTCTCCACAGCTTCCTCATTCATTGCCACATCCTCCTCCAAGCGCTCCCGGCTAGACACCACTTCCTGCGCTCACAAACCACGTCAAAACGTTATAGCCACCGCAGTCACAGGTGTCTTGCACATTGTGTGATTGTGTAATCTGGTCCCCTAATTTAGGTTTGGAGTTTGAGGGCAGGGGGGCCCGAATAAGATTGGAAGAATGGATTCTAACTTAGCATTGGCCCCGCAGGGATTTGGAGCAACATTCCTTCTTATTCGAGGGACCTTCATAATAAGGGGGATCTCATTATTGTGGTTGGGGTGGGTTCAGGACAGGTTTAAGGTGGGTTTAGGGTGCATTTAGGCCGTGTTAGGGTTTACGGAGGTTTAGGGTGGGTGGATGGGCTCAGGGGACTTAAGGTAGGCTTAAGGTAGGCTTAAGGTAGGTTTAGGGGAATGGCAATTGGGTTTAAGGGGGTAGGTTTAGGTTTAGGGCAGGTTTAGGGTGGGTTTTGGGTAGGTGTTGGTGTAAGGTTGGTTTTGGGGATTAGTGTAGGGTAGGTGGTGTTGTAATTAGGGCATGGAGGGGGGTAGTTTGGGTTTAAGGCGGGTAGGTGGGTGTAGGGTGGGTTCGGATTGGGTTCGGGTGGATTTGGGGGTGGGTTTTAGGGCACCTTTTTGCTGGCTTGCTTGCTTGCCTGCTTGCCTGCTGACCTGCCTGCCTGCCTGCCTGCCTGCCTGCCTGCCTGCCTGCCTGCCTGCCTGCCTGCCTGACTGCCTGCCTGCCTGCCTGACAGACAGCATCTCTTCTTCAAACCGGTTGTGGATTTTGATCATCTTCGTGCTACGCATGAATGTTCAGTGCTCATCGGTATGTCCTCTCATCACCTGAATCTTGATCAGAAAATCAAGCTTAATTGACATGAGGATTAGACAAATCCCAATCCAGCCAGGAAAAACACCAATATAATCAAAGGAAGCTTAAGAGGGACTTCCGTAGTCCGTAGTACTGGAACTGAACCAACTAGCTCCCTCCAATAATACATGCGCCCGTGCGTGATCGCACTTGTGCAAGGTCAGGTGCAGTTTTATGGCAGGCGCAGCACTCTCGCAAAGTCAAGCGCAGATTCTTTGGCAGGCGCCACATTCCGCATGGAAGCGCGAGAGCCACAGAGAGAGAGAGAGAGAGAGGCAGGCAGGCAGGCAGGCAGGCAGGCAGGCAGGCAGGCAGGCAGGCAGGCAGGCAGGCAGGCAGGCAGGCAGGCAGGCAGGCAGGCAGGCAGGCAGGCAGGCAGGCAGGCAGGCAGGCAGGCAGGCAGGCAGGCAGGCAGGCAGGCAGGCAGGCAGGCAGGCAGGCAGGCAGGCAGGCAGGCAGGCAGGCAGGCAGGCAGGCAGGCAGGCAGGCAGGCAGGCAGGCAGGCAGGCAGGCAGGCAGGCAGGCAGGCAGGCAGGCAGGCAGGCAGGCAGGCAGGCAGCAGCAGGCAGCAAGCAGGCAGGCAAGCAGGCAGGCAGGCAGGCAAGCAGGCAGGCAAGGCAGGCAAGCAGACAGACAGACAGACAGACAGACAGACAGACAGACAGACAGACAGACAGACAGACAGACAGACAGACAGACAGACAGACAAATGGGAGAGGGAGAGGGATCTCCACTGAGCCCATTGAAATTCACGCCTCAAATGAGGATTGCCTTCCGCCCTCTCCTGCAGCTCCTCTTGGAGGCGCTGGCCCTCCTCTGTGGCCCGCTCGGCCTCTCGCTGCGCCTCCAGTTGCTGCTGCTGAAGCCGCTCGGCTCGCTCCTGGCGGGGTTTGCAGCGAGGATTGCCCCCAAGGATCCGATTCCATGCACTTGCACTCAGCTCCTGTGCTTGTCTTGCCCTGATCTGCAGCTCAGCCAACTGCCGCGACACCTTCTGCTGCGCCTCGGTGACGACTCTCTGCTCCCTTCCAGTACCTTCCTCTTGCCTCGCTGGCAATCGACCCACCCTCTCCCGCCTCCGTGACTTGCGCCAAGTCTTGCCGCATCTGGCGCTGCTGCACCTCTAACTCATCACAGCGCTGTGAACGCTGCCGCAAGTCCTGCAAGGTTTGCCAAGCCTGAATGCTTGGCCACAAGTCCCACAAGTTCCACAAGTTCCCAATCCTGTTCGCCTGCGGCATGGCGAGCTCGCAGCTCTTGGTGCGCTTGCGTCACTTCCTCCAGCTGCCGAGCCTGCCCAGACGACGACTCAGACACCGCCCTTGAAGACACCCCCGTGCCTCGGACCTAAAGACGTCAACCTCGCCGGCCAGCTTGGCCTTTGAGTCCTCTGCATCTTGGCGCTTCTGACGCTCCTCCTCCACCTTTTGTCAGGGGCACTCCAATGGCCACGGGCGCACTCATCGGGAGTTGACAACAAACGGCAAGGCAACAGGGTGTCCCCTACATGATTGCTGGACCCACATGCCAAACCGTGGATCGGCGACCTGCTGCCGTGTTCTTCGAAGGTCGCGAGTGAGCGTCTCGACCTCACGCTTTTCAATACACAATCCAAGGACATGGAAAGAAAGTCAGCTTGATGCTGGCTCACCCTTTGCAACTTCGTGGCCGTGCGACGTTCCTCCTCCAGCTTACGCTGCGACACCAGCAAGTCGGCGGTGAGTTTGGCCTTGCTTTGCTGCTCCTGACGACAGTCAGACTCAAAACCTGGTGCCAAAGGAGTCTACTCAAAACTGCTCAAAGAATGAATCAAAGGCGGAAATCTGAATCTATTTCTGGCTGGAACTGTCCTCTACTACCCGTCATCTACCCAAGCATTGCCTGTAGCTCGAAAAGACAGTCCACATGCAACATGCCCAGAAGCATGCAAGCAAACAGGCTCCTGCACGAGCAAGTCTTGGGCAAAGTGCTCCACTGGCCCAGCGTCTACAGAAGGCTTGGCATCTGGTGTTAATGATGGCGCTGTAGGTGGCACTTCTCCTGCAAGAAAGCCAAACATTTGGGCTCAATTTTAGGAACCCTGCAGCTACAAACACAAATTTCACATTGCACCCGGCGACAGCCAGGAGACAAACATGTCCGAAAATGGTGACGGCCTCAGCCGAAAGCACACAACACCCCTGGAGATTGTCTCGGCTGTCAGCTTCCCCGTAAAACGCTCTGGACGTGTTAGATGCCTCAACTGTGGAGCCACCACTTGTTGTGCCGTTTTGGCGCCTGCCAAGGGGAATGCACAGGCGGGGCATCCGAAACAGAGTCTAGATTCGCACATTGCGTTAGCTTCTGGACGGGCCCGCCTGAAGGGTCCCTATCTGCGAATAGCGTTGCGCCAAGAAACAGGCAAACCCTTGTAGAAAGCCAAAACAAGGATCCAGCTCATCTTGCACCGTCAAATCAAAGCGACAAAGATTGGTGTATGTAGAGCTGTCTTTTGTGAGGGTACCCCTTTCAGGGTTGGATTGAAGAAAAAAAGCCGAAAGAAGAAAAATGCGAAATTTTGGATCAACCATGTTGACACGCACACACACACACACACCCATGTCAGCAGGACTAGCCAGACTCGCACAGCACCATTGTGGCCTTCAGCCTCTTCCTTGAAGACCAGCTTGTACTGTATACGCGGCCCAGATGCCACACCATCCTCATGCGCCGAAAGCTTCACCACGGCAAGTGGCTGGCATTGTGTATGCTCAAGGCGCCCAATTGTTCGACCGAAAGCCAGAGGGAAATGAAACGAACTGGGGTGCCGAGTCCTTTCTGAAGACAAACCAATGTTGACCATAGGTGTCCTTTTAGGGTAAATAGATGGCCCTGGTAGATGATTCAACCACCAGGCAAACCAGGGAAAATGGCCATCTACTTTTCCACCAAAACAACCAAAAAGCACACCTAAGACGTGGACCGTGGCGTGTTTTCTGTGACCCGGTGACGCGCCAGCTCGCTGTCCTCCGCCGGCTTCGTTAGGGACAGCACGTCGCCGTCGGCCAACGGGTGCCGCTCCTTCAGGAGCTTCAGCTCGTTCACGAAGCTGCCGTTGGTGCTGCAGTCCTGGCCGACTCTGTACACAGGCTGCACATGGACCATATGGTTGCGGGTCAAAAATAGGTACCCAAATGGAACCCTAAATGGAAACAAAGACTAAAACCGCGTAACCCCAGCTCTTTAAATTTTGAACCACGCCCATATCACAAAACCTCCAGGAGTGAGTTGAATCTGTCATAGGACAGGCCTCTCCAAGCATGGAAAGGCCTGGAATGCGATGTCCGCGGAGCGTGGAAAGCCTTCCCATCCGCAATGTGCATCTTAGGTTTCGACTAAAATCCAGCGGGATGGCCGAAGACTTGCGCCTCGAATTCGGGAGGGCCGGAGGCTCTGCAGTGCAGCACGCAGTGGGTGCCGCTCACCTTAGCGAACCCCGGACTTCAGAAACCAAGAACCCCTGCTTGATTCATAGGGGGTGTCCCTGGGTTTTGTGGCGGTATCATCACTTTTGGAAGGAACCGCCCCTTTAATAGGACGGATGAAACCCTTCTTCTGTCCGCATTTCAAGTGCCCTGACCAATCCGCCAGCAGCTAGCACTGGGCCTGACTGAAGGCACAGTGCGACAACAACCCTGCAACTTCAGCCGGGGCTCTGCCCGATCCTGGCACACCAGGAAGTTGTTCGGCCTGCGCCTGCCGACGCAAAATGCCAGCAGCACCACAAGGTTTGTTTGGCCATGAACATCTGATTCCCCTTACTTGGTGATTTGGATTTGTGCTTTGTAGGTTAGAGATGAAGCCATCTCGAAAGCATTCTCGCTTCTGAAGAACATGACCACCCCGCCCGATGGTGGCATCCCCATCGCAGGGCAAGGGAACTGGATCTTCTTGATCATGCAATGCAAGCAGTTGCCATGGCATGGCCAACGTCTCTCTATCAGGCGTTCGGGAGCCTAGAGGCTTCTGCCCCGAGTATCTGACCTTCAGACTTTTCCTTCAAGCTTTGTCCGCGCGATGTCACTTGGAGTTTTTTGGGCTATGTTTGCGACGAAATCTGAGCAGTGTCTGCTTGTGGTTGTCACGCGCATGCTAAGATCCTGCGTGAAGAATTGTACGAAAATCGTGTTGGCGGAAATGCTGTTTACCGGGCAACAGGCACGTGACACTGCACAAGCAGCATTCCAGTGAAGGCCCTCGCATACAATCCAGCATGCGTTCAAGCAGCCTTGCATCTTTTTCCGATGCACTTCCTGCTCACGCAGAAAAACATCGCGAACAAGCGGCCGAGGGCCGAAGACCCGCAGAGCCGCAGAGGAATACCGACTATACCTCAGAAGGTCTCATTGACTGTCGTCAAACATGCCACCTGTGTTACATAATCGCCATCACAAATACTTGTTCCCCTAAGAGGACTGGAAAATCTACTGAGAATCGAGTTGTGGGATTGTTAGAATTTCGTGTTCATGGTTCGATTCTGACAACTCGCATGTTTGCCTACATGGAAGAGTTTTTGCACCCTGGCCTTGTCCAGGTCGGAGTAGACTCACGCCGCATCCACCAGGCACCTGCATCAAACGAGAGCTGCTTCTCCTCATCCTTGGCATAGTCAGCCGCTAGCTCAAAGACGTCATTGCCTTGGTATTCCATGTGGCTGGTGTCCCTTAGCAACTTGTTTCAACTGACCATTTTTAGAGCGAGGGAGGGGGAGCTTTGCAAGGCTTCTTCTTTGAGATCCAAGGCCAGGACAACCATCTGCATCCTTGCACTGTGGAAACGTCACCAGCAAATCCCCCTCAACGAATGTATCACACTCCATGGTGAGCGCATTCAGGGCATCGTAGGAGTTCAGCTCAAATTGTGGCACGACCACGGCATGTCGGTCAATTGGGTCATTCAAAGACACATCAGCCATTGGCTTCTTGGCAACCTCCAGTGCCTGACCTCAGACGCGGCAGCTGCGACTGGTCTGGCACCGGCAAGCGCTAAGGATTACCAGCAGCTGTAAGTTGCACGTTTGCATTGGACAACATCTACCCATTCGTGCATATTGTGGTAAAAGGGCTGGGGGTCTGGTGACTGGGAAACGCCAGATCTGCCGAAGCACCGTTCATTAAGTGAAGGATCATGGCATCCTGGTCGCCAAAGAGTTGAAGCTCCACATGCGCCGCGGTGAGCGCATTGTGAAGGAAGTCCATCGACCAGGCGCTGCGCTTGATGATCCAATTGGCCGAGCTCAAGCCCCAGCCCTCCTCCGTAATCAGCAGGTTTACCTCAGTATCTAGGCCCCCGCCATCAGACAGAGACAGGCGAAAACAAGTGCGAAAACAGACGCAGAAGGGGGGCAGGAAGAAAGAAAGAAAGAAAGAAAGAAAGAAACAAAGAAAGAGAGAAAGAAAGAGACAGACAGACTGACTGACTGACAAACAGCCAGCCAGCCAGGCAGACAGTCAGCCAGACATCAGCCAGCCATCTAGTCAGGCAGGCATGTCCGTCCGTCCGTCCGTCCCTCCCTCCCTCCGTCCATCCGTCCGTCCGTTCGTCAGTCCGTCAGTCCGTCAGTCAGTTATGCAATGGTTTGCATTTGGTATGACTGCTCTGCCCGGCTGTCAGGCGTTCAGGCTGTCGGGACGTCACACAATGGCCCAATGGCTGCCAAAATGCGTCCGAGTCCAGCAGTTCAGAGTCGCAACCTGGTCCAGGCCGGCGGCAGGGCTCCCGGCACTTTGAGGGCGCTGCAGCTGCGCCAGCTTTGCGCAGCCACACTGCGCCGTTCTCCCACTCAAGTCTCTCAGCGTGGCCTGACCCGTCCCATACAATATTCGCACGGAGACGCCCTCCCTGAAAGTCCAGTTCCAGCTCGTCATCTTGGAGCCTTCCATGGACCAGACCGATCTGGGCAGCCTCTGCATACACCGTCTCTTCAGTCTCGCCTGCAAAAAGCTGGATGGTGCTGGCATCTCGAAAATCATCAGAAACCCAGGAGTCCAGCCAATCACCTGTCAAGGCATCCAGTGATTGAGGCAGCTGCCCACACACCAGCGCTGGATCGGAGTCTGTTGGCTCAAGCGCTTTTCTCTGCGCGTACTGGTAGATGATCGAATCCAAGGTTCGGTTCAAATTCATAAGGATGGAGTCGCAATCCAGCCAGGCCACCCAGTCAAACTCGTTGGACTGCAAATATGCTAAAACAGTTGCCAACTTGGCGTGCTGCACGCCTAAACCGTGCGCACCAATCACGGGGTGTTCCAAATGCAAGCGCAGAGCGTAGCCATGCCGATTCGCATAGGCCTCGCGGTTTGACGGCGTCAGCTTGGGCAAAGCGAGCGGGTGGTCTTCGGGATAGGCACAAATAGAGACAACGGCAATGTTGAGATCGGCACGAAAGCTGGGAGCAATTGGTACAAGACTTCGAGAGTCACGGCGCAGTTTCTGATCATGTCCCCTCCGCATGTGAATGATGGCAGGGATGATGTGGTGCTCTGTCACACCCCATGCTCTTCCTGGGATGGGGGGTATGCGGTTGGCATTGCGTAGGGTGAAAATAAACACGAGCGCCAATTGCAAAAGGCGATATGCGAGGCCGGCCTCGCCCTTTGGGGCTCTTCCAGTCAAGCCCAGCGTGTCGACCGCTTCCTGATCCACAAGTCGGGCCAGCAAGTAAAAGCCGGCCACTACGCCCACGTTGCAAGACAGCACGTCGGAGATGTTCGCCGTTCGTGCCAGCAGCTGTTCGGCCAGAGCAGTCCGGGCAGCAAACCGCACGTCGAGCTCTTCCTGCGCGGTCGCCTTGGCGGCTACTTCATACGTAGCATGGAACTCCTGCCACTCTGGCCTGTTGATGGCGCATGCGAGGTCCTCCAACCCAGAAATCGCAGACACGCAGCCAACATAGCAAACAGCTGTGAGCGCCCACATCGGGCCGACAGCCGTGAGAAGGCACGTTTGTCAGGGCGTCCATGGCATCGGTGACGTGGTGCGACTGAGCTTTGTTTCCAGCAGATATCCTTCTCTCTTGTCGGATGAGAAAACACGAGGAACGGACACCGTCAGGTTTCAGAAAGTTCTGCAGCATCATTGCATCATGAATCATCTCGCTAAACAAAAGTCGAGGCATGTCTTCGACTCATGAACTCGCATCAGATCATCATTTGTGCGACTCCGGGGAGCAATGTTTCTGCGGAGTAAAGAGCTCACTGATGGATGGCAGAAAGGTCAAATGGGCTGTGGAACAACAGCATGTCTGGTGACTCACTGAACCGCAGCAACTTAGTCTCACATGCCTCCCCCCGCCTCCCAACCAAAGAAAAAGTCACACCGTGGCAGCTTTTCTCGATGCCCAAGGGGCCGCAAGTCTGCTTGCATCTTGCTGGCTTCTGCCAGGCCGCAGCAAGGCCGGAAAAGCAGACTCGTGACACTTCGCAGGGCCTTGAGCCTTGAGCCATGCCTGTCAAAGTGCAGGCCCGAGACCCTCGCGTCGCTTCAAATGACATCTTTTTCACGTCGTCTCAGCAAGCCGCAACTAGCCAAGCCTCAACGGCTCCTGCACAACAAAACACACGCACCCGCCACTCTCGCAATCACTGCGAATAAAGATCCCGCCGATCTCGCGTGAATGCCCGCCTGAAACTGCCGGTTCCAAATGGTCCCGCCCTTGCGGACCCCCTCCCAGCTTGGCAGAAGGTCGTCTTCCTCATCCGGCTCCTGAAACAATCGGATTTCGCTGACGCTGAGCTATCAGAGACTTGGCGTGGCTCTCAAAAACCCCTGGGACCTCTTCGCCTTCAACCCCGCGGTCCTCTTCACTCTCCTCCTGCTCCATGTCGGGCCCGTCTTCGGGGGCGTTGTCCTCCATTTCCCGCTGAAAGGCAGAGCTTTCCAGCGCGGCTGGAAACCCCGGAATCCAGGTGCTGGTAATCGCCTAGGTCGATCTCAATCCGTGAGCCTTGCAAGGTGCTTCATCCTGAGGATAAGGCTGTGTAATGCTCATAGCGGCCTGCAAAGCGCATCCCCCCCAGCCACACCCAAACTCACTCACCGGCTCGCAAAGCCGCCTGGGAACTCATCAAAAAGATCCCGTTCCTCCTCCATTGTGACGTGCAGCAGGGACGCCCACAGGACGAAGGCCACTACAACCAGCATCACCGGGTTGCACAAGGCCAGCTGGGTCCCTGGCTGGCTACCAAGCTTCGTTTACGTCTGAACCTTGCGGCACTTCCAAGAACAGGCCTACTCCCCAAAGCAATGCTCCAAGGTAAGCTGGATGGCGCTCCCAAGCATAGGGCCCTTCTTGTACCACTCTGCGATTCGGAATTTCCAAGCCTGGATTGCACACGTGGCAATTGTCCGGCTAGATTGTCCTATAGCCTCCGGATTGTGCCAAGGAGCCAACCAACTCATCTTCTTCCATCTCGCGGGTTGAAGCCCAGAAGTTTCGATCTGCCACACGAGCTGACCATATGACCAGAGCCTGGCCGACCGCCATGCAGACCATGCCTCAGATGCTTTTGGCAGGCCGCAAACACCGAGCATAAAAGGCGCGCCAGCTGGACGTGCATGCAAGGAGCCCAGGAGAACGATGGGACTCCAAAGTTTGAAGTCCGGAAGGTAACTCCACTCGCCGAAAAACTCCAGGCAGCTCAGCAGAACCGCCGCATCATAAGCTGGGAAAACTGGGAAGAAGAAGGAGAGAGTCGAGATGTAGTCCGGCGGCAGCGTCACACATTCTTTGAGGTACCCTTGCAGGTAGAGAATGCATGCCTCGCAGGGAGAACCTCAAACCTGTTGCGCTACAAGATTCGGGCAGCAGTCAAAATTACAAGCCAACTGGGCTCCGCACAAACACCACCACGAGGGTCCACGGCCCCAAAGAGTCGTCGCCATCCAAAGCAAAAGCCCAAGCGCCGCACTCAACAAAAGCGTGACCAGCATGGAAGGCCAAAGCAGCCTCGATCGTGCATCCAGCTGCAAGCTGATTGACTACATTCCCTTGAAGCCTTGGCTGGGCTGCGTTAGCCAGGTTGCACACATGACCAGCAGGCCAAAGCTGCCGCCATAGTCGCGCAGCAGCGTGATGCACAAAAGGTGGCAAGCCATGAAGGACCACACAAAGTAGTATGCCTGAGATGGCCCTTGTTCCGGAGTCTGAGGCAAAGCAAAAGGGACTGAGCAAGGCATCTGCTTTCAAACTTGAAACTCATGGCGAGAAACGGAGCAAGACGCTCTCAAAGAAGTTGCAATGCCTTGGCTGCATGATGCTGTATGCAACCACTAGCAAGGGTATGCTAGCAAATTTGTGTTCAGCAATGCAAAATGTCCGGTCTTAAATTTCACGGCCCTTGACCAAACAGGATGATACATTATAGCACCCGTGCGTAACCTGCCCCGGACTCGGTGGCCTCAGGAATCCCATATTTACATGCAATCTCGCAAATGCACACAAATTCAACAGTGTCGTCGCAAGTTCAGGAACTTTGACAAAGGATCTCGTTTGTCTATCCGATGTTCGGAACATGTTCGACTTGACATGAACGGTGCACGAAGCATCTGGCTGTGGGTCAAAATAGGTACCCAAAATAGAACCCTGGTAAAAGGAAACATGGACTAAACCTGCGGTCCCCCAGTGGTTCAATTTTGACCCACAGCCATCTGATGTACCTCATGTTTGGTGACTGGATAGGTGGTGCAGCCTCGCGGCCACACAAGGCACCAAGCGCGATGGCTGCAACGCCGCGTGATGCCTGACAGCTTCATGGCATCATGCCCAGCTGTCTTTCCCAAAACTGAATGACATAGAATGCCCTCTAAAAAAAGAACATCCACAGGGCGGGGCCTTGGTCTTGTCAGGGTACTCCAGCTCATCGAAGAACTTCAGCGGACCGGTGGGCCTATGCATGTCAAGAGATTTGCGGTTGGCCGGCACTAGCCGTCAAGCCCGCCCGAGGGCTGCTCAGCAACGTGGCCACATGGGCCCAGGTGTTTCTCAAGATGACCCCTCCTGGTAGGTGGTGTCCTTTTGGTTCCTCTCAAGCCTATCCAAAAAGGGATCCCGTCCAAAAAGGGGTCCCCTATGTTCAGAGACCCTTCTGGACCCTTCTGACGCTCCAAAAACAGAAAGCAGTCCACAGCATCCACCCCCACCTGGGTGCGGGTGGCAGTTTTCGCGGCTCAGGCAGCAAAGGCGGCGGCGTGTAGCGCGGCTGCTGCAGCCGCGCCTGCCACTGCTGGAGCCTGCGGATGAAGATCTGCGAGCAAAACGGCATCCCAGCTTTGCCAGTGCCAAGTTGCTGCTGCATGCGCTGGCTTTGCTGTGCAGAATGCATCCTGAGCGGCAACAGAAAGAGTCAAGCCATGGTGCGCAACTGGTGCAGAGGCAAAACAACAACAAAAAGCAGGAAGCCATGGTTTAGCAGGGAAACACGTGACTTTACAAAGCATCATGCCTTTCAAGGCATGGCTCTGCTGCATCATCAACTCTCTACGGCGCAAATGTTCCATGAAGGGCGTGGTAGCGCTCGCCTGGATCTCCTAGGCAGCGAGCAGTGCACAACTTCCGCGCGCTCCGAATCAACGGGTCCTCCAGGTGGAAGCCCTCGCTGGCCGCCAGCTTTCTCAGTGCCGCGCTGCTCGGGCAGAACTGCAGCCCTTGCCTGAAATCAACGAAGCGCCCTCACACACTGGCCCGCACAATCCATGTGGATGAGTCCTGATAAGGCTTTGGGGTGCTACAGGCAACGTTGCACTGCAGTGTTGCAGCTTCACTTGAGCTGGACGCATTTTCCATCTCCTATGATGTTCTGGGGTTTGCCTGCCATGTTTCTTACCTCTTTGCATCGCGGTTCATATTGCGGTATCCTGCCCCCTCAATGTGGGCGAGGCGGCCTGAGCACTGCTTGAGCTGCTTCATGGCAGCCCATTTCCTGCCCGGTGCCAACACGTGCCAACGAGTCCATGCCATGCGCACGGCTGCAACTCGCGCCTTGAACTCTTGAAAGCTGTGCACAAACGGCGCACCCCGATCATCAGGCTCCTGAGGCAACGCAAAGGGAGCAAAAAGATTGCAAGAAGCCATGGACGCAAGCGGTCCTTGACATTGTCCTCGGCCTGATTGCCCTCTGGACTGGAAGAGGCTTCAGGCCGTGCTTCGGACTTTCTTTCAGTGTCGTTTGTATCTTGAGCTGTCTTGGAAAGCGCTTCCAACTCAGTTTTGGCATCAGCTGCTTGAGCAGGGGCTTCTTCAGTCGATGCTGGTCTCTCAACAGGCTCAACCTCTGCTTCCGTTGCTTCCGCTGGTTCTGCTTCAGCACTTGCTGCTTCCGCAGGTTCTGCTTCGATACTTGATGCTTCCGCAAGTTCTGCTTCAGCAGCTGTGGAGCTTGGTACTTTCACAAGTTCTGCTTCAGCATTCGCTGCTTCCGCAGGTTCTGCTTCGACACTTGATACTTCCGCAAGTTCTGCTTCAGCAGCTGCAGAGCTTGGTACTTTCACAAGTTCTGCTTCGGCATTCGCTGCTTCCGCAGGTTCTGCTCCGACACTTGATACTTCCGCAAGTTCTGCTTCAGCAGCTGCAGAGCTTGGTACTTTCACAAGTTCTGCTTCAGCACCTGCTGCTTCCGCAGGTTCTGCTTCGACACTTGATACTTCCGCAAGTTCTGCTTCAGCAGCTGCAGAGCTTGGTACTTTCACAAGTTCTGCTTCAGCACTCGCTGCTTCCGCAGGTTCTGCTTCGACACTTGATACTTCCACAAGTTCTGCTTCAGCACCTGCTGCTTCCACAGATTCTGCTTCGGCACTTGATACTTCCACAAGTTCTGCTTCAGCACTTGCTGCTTCCGCAGGTTCTGCATCTGCATGTGTGGCTACTTCAGCAGAAACTACTTCAACAGCTGTTTCTTCTTCAGCTGGTAATCGTTGAGGTTGCTCCTCTGCAAGCGAGTGGGGCGCTGCTTGGGCACTTTCCGCTGACACCGGTGCTCCCTGCGGATCTGGCTCCACTCTGGGGGCTATGGCGTGCTCAGACTCTGCCTCGACCATCGCCAGGCTCTCAGGGGACGCGCATGGCAGCTGTAAGAACCGGGAAATGGCTGCGCCAGGTCGGAGGCGAAGCATTAAATCCATGGGGAAGAAACGCGGCACGACAACACGCTTGGTGCATCGCTTCCTTATGTTCGTGAATGGAGCACATGCTTTTCCAGATGCGGCAGCGTGATTTTGTCAGGGCTTGCTCCTGCGCAACAGAGCTATGTACATTGGCCCATACGGCGTCCGATCCGGAAGAATGAGCACCTGGCATTCGCAGTCAGATGTGCACACAGCATTCGCAGAAATGTACACACACACATAAGCACGTGCAAACACCCGGCCAGCACATCCCTGCAGGAACACTCAGACAGTGGTTGCTTTTGCGTATGAGTCATACACATACACACAAACAACAACTTCAACTTGTTTGTCTGAGGTATGCACGCCGAAGGCCGTGTCGTCAGCGCCTTCCATTAGAGATAGATGTTTCTCCGCGATCTTCTCTGGAGCGAAGCCCTCTCCAAACTTCTTGAGGAATTTGCCCACGACACCTTGGGCCAATCAGGGTTTGAGCACCTGAAATCTGTATCGGACTGCTTTCAGTCTCAGGCATAGACCAAGCTTCAGTCTCAAGTAACGCACAGTACGTCATTTGGCTCCCGTAGGGACTCGACATTTCCTGTTTAAATATATCTATATATCTATATATGTGTGTGTGTGCAACCCCCCCCCCCCCCGCCCGGATGGATCTACCTCCTTTTTGCTGGTTGAAGGCTATTTTGGAGATGGAATGCAGCTGTTTTATTTGGAATGCCAGATGCAACTTGACCAGTATCAGCTCACCCTGAGCAAGGAAATCCACTTCAAAATTCTCATTTGGAAGAACAACTCCAATACTCCAATCATTACACACCTTTAACAAAAGAACACACACACACTATGTGCATTCTCTTTAAAGCTAGACATTCTAATTAAACTATGCACCTATTAAATTCAATTGAACCTATGCCAACAAATCAATCCGTTAGAACATCTAGGTTCAAATCATGATTTGACTACACATCTAGTTCGACAAGGAAATCTTATTAAAATCATCTTTAAACTAGAAACGCTACTAGGGTGTGTTCCTTTTTAAGTTACATGTCAATGCGAATGAGAAATGAACAAACACAATCCTAGAAACAGATCCCCTTTTAAACGGTATCGTTCAAATCTATTTTGAGACAAGACTTCTAATTGATTGTTTATGTTTAATCCTTATCGAATACTTTGAATTCCAAGCAGCAAAACACTAAAAATGCACAAAGAACGTGCTTTGTTTTGAACAAACACACATGTTTCCAGGAAAGGTCAAAATACAAAGTGAAATTATGGAGCCACTAGCCCAGAAGTAAAAGCGTTAAGTTCTGGAGCGAATGGTACAGCACCAATAATAAAAAGGGCATGTGGGGCCAATGACCCAAGTGCAAAGAAAGTACACTTCTAGAGCCAGAGACTCAAAAGTAAAACCGTAAAGAAGTAAAAGTGAATGTCTGGAGTCAATGACCCCAAAAAAGAAAAAGAAAAAACATGCAAAAAAGTAAAAGCAAACAAGGAAAAAAAGAAACTAAATCAGCCCATGGTCCTGAAGTAAACTGTGTTGACCATGGATTGATTTATGTTACTTATTTGTATTTGTTTATAACTGTTTTATTTATTATAATAATTAAAATGGTTTACTTGTTTGCTTGCTTTACTTTTTTGACTGTTTACTTTTTGGTACTGTTTTTACTTTTTACTTTTGGGTCATTGGCTCCAGAACTTTACTTTTTACATCTGACTTTTTTACTTGTTTAATGTTGGGTCACTGGCTCTAAAAGTTTACTTCTTTGCGTTTTCACTTTTGGGCCAATGGCTCCAACATAGTCTTGTGGTAACGCTCAGCGAACGTTTTCCATGGTTCCGCCACGCTGCGAGCGGAAGTAAAGAGTCTAATTGACTCAAGGGCGCCGCTAAGCCAATGGCCGCGAAAGGCAAATGCATTGGGGACCCAAAGAAGAAACACCGCAAAACTCACACTGAAGTGTTTTTCTTTTGCCTTTCGTGGGGCTTCGTGTCAACCAACGTTATGGTGGGCTGTCTTAGCCATTCCCGAAAGCTGGCTTGTAGAACGGCGTCTACTTTAGTGAGCCCATCAGCCCACATCAAGCCTGTCGGCACCCAACGAACTTGTTGTTCGCTTGTGTGGTCTTGAATTGACCGCACGGCAATCAGAGTCCGTTTCTCAGAAAGGCTCGGATTCCCAGCTATCACTGCATCATACAGCGACTTGCAATCTGTCGCTTGAAACTGCCTCAGGCGAGCTCCAGGTTGCTGGCCATCGAACAGCACCTCGCTCAGGAAGTAGCGTAGACCATCCTGTCCACGCACCGGTCCATGCTGTTCGCCTCCGATGCGAGCGTCGACCGCGTGACTTGCGGTGACCGCGCGCTTTGCCAATCCAGAACGGAAGCCATCGTGGTCCGTTCCAAGCAGTCCGGGGTGGTGATGACCACCACCACTCCCATTTGGGACTTGTGTCCCTCCGCGTTGGCCCAGCTGGAATCCCCGAAGCCCACGCTCGGTCGTAGCTCGGTTCAGCGGGATGCCTTGGAAGGTGAGGCCATCCGTCATGGTCTCCTTGGCCACCTTGATGCCCTCCAGAACGTCCCGAAGGTCGGTCGGCTTGGTGTCACTGCCTTTGTTGCTCAGGCTGGTGAGGGCACAAAGGTCTGGTCGGGATTGTCCTCCAAGCCACTGCAGGCTGCCCGACACGCTCTTGAACTCGGCGCGTTCCTCGGCGTTGAGGCTCTCGGCCGTCAGGCGTCCTCTCTTGATGCTGCCGCATTCCATCTCCTTGATGAACTCCGTCTGGGTCACCTTAATGACGTCCTTGCCGTTGACGGTGTCCAAGGAGATCTGCTTTCCTCTAAAGGTGAGAGGTTTGCCCTTCTCCAAGTAGGCCTTGTTGCCCCAAGTGAACATGCCCAGGAGCTCGTCCATGTTGTAGTCCTTGCGGAAAGCGACCAAAAAGTCGTCCACGTGCACTATCAGTATGACTTGTAGATAGCCACGTGAGCACCGCTTGTAGAAGCACATGTGATCCAACCGGTGCGTCAAGAACTGCGCCACAATGAGGGTTCGCACCACATGCTTGATCCATGTCTTTGGTGCCGAAGCAAATCCATAAAAAAATCCTTCGATGGAGTACAGCCGGTGAGGAAATGACTTTGCCCTCCTCTGCAGCTCATCACGGGGTGGTCTCAAAAACAGCGGAAGCTCCAGTGCATCAGGTTCGCCCTGCAGAAAGGCCGTAGCCACATCTCCTCCCCATAGGCCCCACTCCATGACCTGGATCACTGTCAGCTCCGCAAACTTGGTGGGAGTCGGAGATGATCGGTCGAGCTGGGAGAGGTCGGGGTCCAGGCAGCCAAGGACTACAGTCCGGCATTTCGCTGCCACACTTGGTCCGGCCCCGCGGTTTTTATCCCTGTACGCGTTGCGCGAGGGGATCACCCGGCGCCTCAGCGTTGGACACTTCAGCACCTCGTCCGCCTCCTTGTCATCCAGGGGCGTGATGGTGCCCCAGCTCCGCCATGACTCGTACTCTTTGCGGTTGGCCTTCACGTAGAGGTCGATCGTGGCGGCGTCTCCTCTCATGATGGTTCTCCAGGGTATCTCCCTGTCCAAGGCCTTCCGCTCTTTCCGTGTCATCTTGGCCACCGTAGGTTCCTGGTTGCCGTCGTCGGAGCTGTCGGACGTCTCGATGTCCTTTTTCACGGTCGCGGCCAAAGCTCTGAACCAGCTCGATGGGGGGCCAACCTTGTACCGTCCCATCGTTCAGGTGGAAGTTCACCACCGGTGAAGGTAGTCTCATCTGAAGTGGTGATGAGCGTGGTCCATGGCCGGTTGTGCTTGGTCATGCGCTGGAGTAGCTGGTGCTTGCTGCAGCAGTGGCGTCGTGTTCCCACTTGAGATTGTCTGTGGGGTGCCGTTTGACATGCCGTCGGTGTCGTCACTTGCATGTCTCCGGCATCTGGGATGCTTGAGTGCCCGTTGGCTGTGGGAATGCTGCCCTCTGGTTGTGGCAGTGCGCCCATCTGCTGCTGCTCGAGAGGCCTGTCGGCCAGGGAGTGTTGCTGCGATGGCTGTGGTGATCTTGACCGCCGCCTGATGGCTGATGATGTTGCTCCCTGTGGCAAGTGATAATGCCTCTCTGTGTGGTGCTGGTGGAGCGTCGGTGAACACACCTGTTGTTGCTGAATGACGTTCGTCGTCTCTTCAACTTGCTGCATTGCAACTTGTGGTAGTTGTGGTGGTGGTTCAGCTGCTGATGCTAATGCTGGTGGTGCTTGAGGTACCTGAAGTGCTTGTGGTGCGTGAGGTAGTTCAACTGGAGGTGGAGCCAAGAAAGGTTGCGTAGGCTCTTCAATCCCCATCGCATCGCATCGATCTCTGGGTCGAGATTCTCATCCTCTCCAGGTCCGGGTCCGCGCTCGTCGGTCCAAACCCCTTCTCTCAAGCGTTTGGCCCCGTCCTTGAGCGCCCTGATATCTTCGGGGCCCGGTGCCCAATCCTCCAAACCGTAGGCGGGCCTCAATTGTTCGTGCGTGACCTCCCGTTGGAGTGCACCCAAGCGCTCTTGCCGTCGCTATCGTGGTGCACCAGGCGTGCCAAGACATAGCCTCCACGCTTCTTCCCGGCCACCTTCTTGGTCCAGCGCCGGTAGGCCGCCATAGCTCCGGGTAAGATGGCCTTGGCGTCCGACACGTTCGGCGCTGTCTTCCTCAGGAGCGCCCTCCTTATCGTTGATGAAGCCTTCGCGTCCGCAACTGCCCGTAGAGCTTGACTTCTGAGCTTTTCTGCCAGAAGGTGGCCGTTGTGGACGATGAGGCTCCGATCGTCATTCAAGATGTCCCGGGGAAGCGTGGCAGCTTCCCAAAGGCAGCTTGGTAAGGTGATCGCCCCTTTGTCGAGACCGAGGCGTTGAGCGTCTGTGTAGCCGCCGTGATCACCCAATCCAAGGCTTCGCCGCTGGTGACCGCATTCTCGTCCACCAGCCTCTCCACCACAGTGCGCAAAAGCGCATTCCTCCTCTCGATGGCGCCAATCCGCCAGTGTGCCTCCGCCGGGATCGTTTTGACGTGGACCCCGGCAGACTCCAGCTGCTCAGTGAACTCCTTCTGGAACGCTCCGTCCGGGTCCACCTCGATCTGCAAGGGGTAGCCGAAAGGTCCCAGCCAGATCTGCCTCAGCACGGTTGGGCGCCCGGGAAAGAAGCCGCCCAGCCTGCTGCAAGTTCGTCGCCATGCAGACGACCCCCAACACCGCGTGATTGGTGCCCGAAAGGTCGCGGATGTAAACCAAATCTGCTTGAAGTCGCTCAGCAAACTGCCCCTGGAAGGTTGGAAGAGCTGCTGGTCGTGGTTGCAGGTGCTTTGCCGTTCTCTCACAGCTCCCGCATTTGATGTGTTCCAAGGCCGTGACCACCGGCAGGTTCAGCGCTCCATGGGCAGCAAGCAACCGTTTGAGT